GTCTGTCTGGCGAGCGGACGCGCCCTATAGGGAAAACCTTTCCAAAAAAAAAAAAAAAAAAAAAAACAACAACAAAATTCATGGAAATAGGACCAGCAGACTGCTTAATGGTCACATTGCCAAGCTCCTATATGGCTGACTGTGGTTCAAGTCTCGGACTCGGTGGCTTGAATCTCATGCCAGGTATGTTTGCATGTCTGCCCAAAATCCTGAGAGGAGAATGCAAGACAAGGATTGCTGTATGGCCATCCTCCCTGAGGGGCTAGTTTCTCACTTTCTGTCTCCCTGTCTCTCCGGTCAGTGCATATAACCTATAATAAGAATCTCTCTTTAAAATAAAAGTTCATGATGGGATTAGCAGGTAGCATGATGGTTAAGGTGCTGTATTCCCACATAGCCAACTGTGGTTCTAGTTCTGGACTTGGTGGCTTGCTTTCTCCCTCTCCTTCTCCGTCTCCTTCTCCCTCTTTCTGGTCAAATTGATTAATAATAATAATAAAATAAAATCTTTAAAAAATAAATGAAAGTTCATGGGGAAATGTATATTATTAAAAACTATGCATGTATTTCAAAATCTTGTACCAAAATAAACCCCAGCTTGAAGTTTTCAATTAGCTTTTTTTGTCCTATTTTTGCTATAGAGTACAAGTACTTGCTGGAGAGAGACAGAGAGAGAGAGAAAGGGAAAGTGAGAAATCAGACCCCCAGGGGATGGCTGCAGTTCTATCTCCTCCATTCTCCTCTCTGGATTTTGGACATACATGAACATGTACCCAGCATATTTTTCAAGCAACCAGGTCCAGGACTCTGATCACCTTAACTAATATGCCACCTGCTGGCCCCGATATTTTGAGGACTTTGAATGCTGTGACTTCACATTTACTTCTAAAATCAATCCAAATCTGGTTTCATATCACTATTCCAGTTGGTCTTTCTTACGGATATACATCCAAGTTACATTTATCAAGCTCCTTTTAACATGATTGTAGTACTAGATTGTTTCCCTGACTTTTATGTTGGTTATATTGCTAAGTGCTTTGCATTTTCATTATTGTAGAACCCCTATGATGTAGGCACACTTTTATTCCCACTTTACAAATCAGGAAAAAATAGATTTTTCTGAAGCACCATGTGGTTATGTGTCTTGTCCAAAATCATTCAGCTAATAGGAATAGAAATTTGGACCCATGCAGTCTGTCTGTCTGCAGTCTTTGCACCTAATTACAGTGTCTTATGGGGTGTATGGTAGTCTAAATGATAAAAATTGATACCACAAAGAGGCTGGTGCAACCATATCATTTTGTTATATGTGGACAGCATTCTCCTTTAGATCAAGTTTAAGCATGGTATGATTTATGTACCCTGTCAGCTGTTTCTGCCACAAATTTTGTTTTGAACTTTCAAGGATGGTTGTGTAACTTAACCAATTTCTTTTTTCTTTTCTTTCTTTTTTTTTTATGCAGACTTGTAAAAAAGGCAAAAAGGGCCCGGGAGAAAAGGGCAAAGGTGGAAATGGGGGAGGAAAACCTCCTTCTGGTCCTAATCGAATGAATGGTCATCACCAACAGAATGGAGTGGAAAACATGATGTTGTTTGAAGTTGTTAAAATGGGCAAGAGTGCTATGCAGGTAATATTTATGGTGTTCTTTCCAGTTTATTTGTACATTTATTTATTTTTCTAAAGAATTATTTAAAGTTTTTATTTATTCAATTAAATGGGGTGGGGAGGGGAAGGGAAAGGGATAGTGAGAGAGAGTGTAAGTCATTAGGTCTAGACTCAACTACAGTTGGCTCTGTGGGAGTTGTGCACTTTAACCTTACTCTACCTGCTGGCACTGATGTGTACATTTTAAACTTATGCTATTTATATAGAGGCCCTGATTTTTGTAATTACGTTGAAGGAATACACTACTTACTAGAAAAACAAACTAGTCAGAAATCTCTAGGGAATTTTCCATTCATGTTTATGGCCTTTAAGCTATGTCTTGCATCGTCTTCTGCATTGTTGTAGTTGTTATTTATTTATTTTTTTTCTGGAGAGGTTTTTGCTATAGGGCGCGTGCACTCATCAGAGAGGCAGAGACAGAAAGCGACAAATCACCCTCCAGGAGGGATGGCCA